AAAAACTTATTTAACCTATTTTTTAAAATTTCATACCCAATCAAATGGATATAGATTTCAATGACAGAGAATTATATATATATAAAAGAACACACCTTAAACAACAAAACCGTTTTAAGTAAATTGTGTGTTCAGTTGGTATTATTGTTTAGTCTATATAACTCAATCTACAAGTCTTTTTTTTTTTTTTTTTTCTTTTTCTTTTAAATCACATTCAACATCCCAATTTATTAACAAATTTTCATAATCCAATATAAGTATATAACTTAAAATAAAAGGCTCTGTTTGCCTATGCTTTCAACATTAATGTTTTTCCAATATTAATTAAAATTTCATTTTAAAAACATTAACTCAAAATTTATTTTTCGTTTAAAATAGTATATTTAAAAAATACAAAGTTTCAAAACATATATAATTAAAAACACTCCGAGTAAACAAACTATGGAAGTCTCATTATTGTTATTATTATTATTATAGTCTGAGTTATGTGCCGTATCAATCCATCTATTTCTAACAATATCTATGCATGCATGCATGCATGGGTGTGTGATGTCTGAATATGACACGAGTATGTTTAGGTATTTGCATGCATGCACGATTCACGTTTGGTTGTTTATGGATAGCCAACATTAGCTGGCCCATTCATTACTTTCTTCATTCCATTATATAGATCACTAATAATAATAATAATAATAATAATAACATGTGCCGAAACAGACGCACGATTAAAAAAGATCATGTTTCTTTTTCACAAAAATAAAAATAATTTTCTTTTATCTGATGTGGCAGTGTTTGATTGGATTATAGCAATTTGGGTAATAGTAATAGTTTGGCGAATCAGGCGGCCTAATATGGGCCTTTATTGGGCCAATGTTGATTGGGTATAAAGTGGGCCTTTTTTGGACCATTGTGACATTTATTGATTCTGGTTTGGCGAAAGCGCTTATTGATTTGATTGGCAGCAGATGAAAAATCAAAATAGAGAATTAATTTGGGATTAGGGTTCGGTCGAGTTCAATTCACTATGCCTGCCGAATGCCGATCACCTCCATTGATCGGAGTCGGACAACATGGAATGGTAGGCGACGGGATGGAGCTCAAGGACGCCGGTGCTTGATTGGATTTTGCATTCGTGGATCCGAAATCGAGAATCGTGAGGTGCGTAGTCTCAACTCTTCCCTCCGTATGTACTCTCTCTCTCTCTCTCTCTATATATATATATGTATGTATATGTTCCTGAAATTTCGATTGTTAGGTTATACTGAACAGCTATCTGCACGTGTTTCTGAAATTTCCAGTTGATAGGTATGATATAAGTTCCTAAACTGAACATGTTCTTCATTTTTAATTATAGGCAGTCTATAGAATTGAAGGTTAAAGAACTGTTGGTTGTTGTTAATAACAACAATGCACACTATACAATATCAGTGTCAAAACTAACTTGTGCGTTAGGTGGTAGTGATTCTGCCGAAAAATTTCCACGTACCTCGCTCTAACAAATTTTCCTTTACTACAATCAATTAGAAAATGAATCCACTTAGTCCCCAAAACATAAAATCATTTCGGAAGTTGAGATGAATCCTCCTCCTCTTGTTGCATTGTGGATTCATCTCTGTGTCGCTTCGCTTCGCGAGCTTTCGCCCATATTAACACATAAAGTCCACCTCCAATTACGATCCCAAAAGCCTGAATATAGAGCAATAGTTAAATTATTAATTTCCTAACATACAATATTGTAATCATTCTACACAATGTTAGAATTAATTGAAAATACTACTACAGTATAGAGAATTTAGAAATATTTTCATTGTTTGAAACTAAGACACTCTGGATGTCAAAATGCCCTATATTTTTCATATAATAATTTTGTGTAAAAATGTGTATTCATGTGTTTATTATATATATATATATATATATATGTTAAGATGACAAATAATTTTTGAAAGATTAAGAATCTTACAACACAAAGTGTGGTGAGCAATATGATATTCCATCCTAATTTCTATTTGTTCCAATCTCTCTCAATATTAAAGATGAGCGCGACTAGGGGTGAGCAAAATATCCGAAATTCGAAAATTCGATCCAAACCAAATTGAAATTTAAAATTTGGTTCGGATTTTGAATTGGTTCGAATTAAATTTTTGACAAATTTTGGATTTTTGGATTGGATCGGATCGGTATATTTAAAATCCAAATCAATTCGAAATCCGAAATATTACATTTTAATATATTTTTTTATTATATATTTAATATTTTATTAGAAAATATTATATTTTAATATAAAAAAACTCAAAATTATTAATTATATTTTAATATATTTAATTTTTATATATTATATATATTTATTATTATAAAATTATAATAAAATATAAAAGAAATTTACAAATTAGAAAAATAATTAAAAATATTTAGGATTTCAGAATTTTCGGTTTGGTTTAAATTTTTTAGTTCGAATTTCAGATTTTCGAATTTCAAATTTCAACTCCATTCAGATTGATTTTTTTTCAAAATATCAAATCCGATCCAAAAATCCGAGTACTCAGCCCTTAGCACAACTTCTTGAATTGCCAACCAAACCGTCATTGTTGGTGATAGAGATAATGGAAACAGATATTCTCTTGCAGCTTTAGCCTAATTATCATTCAACACTTAGTTTAATTAAGATTCAACAATATAGCGCTTGGGTTCCCACGTCATAAAAAAATAAATAAAAATAAAAAAAAAAATTCAACAATATAAACATTCATTTAAATTTAAACAACTTACTTGAACAATCAAGAAGAATGAATAACTAGCTGCATTGAGAAAAAATAAACATTTTTTGCCCATAAAATATGAACAAAAAATTATGTGACAAATATATTGATTAAATTGTGGCATCATTTTTTGATAAATATTAATAAAAAAAAATATTCTCTTCGTTCCGTATCACTTTTACTATTTTCGTCCGTCTCTCTCCAAGGTATCGCTTTCCTATTTTAATAAAAGTAATCATACACTAATACCAAAATACCTTTAATTTTTACATAAATTACAAATATACCGTTACAACAATTATTTTATACATAAAGTCAAATGATAAAAATATCAAAACTTCTCACGCACTTCCACTAACCAATAAAATACTACTCTATCCGGCGAAATCGAGGAGGGACAGTGACCCACTAGCTCAAGCTCTTATTCCCTTGGAACATACTACAGCCCCAGGTGGAAAATTTCATTCAATTAAGAAATATCCTGTAGTTTTAGGATAACTTCGTTTTCCTAGTCAAGTCGACAAGGGCATGAAATTATTTGATTTTTTATAGGCCCAGATCATTTGTTTTGTTTAGCTTAGGTACGGGGTTTAGGTATCATGTAATTAGTAAGTAATTAAAAAATATATTAATAAAACTAATAATTATTTAATAAAAATAATTATAAATTAAAATTAAGATGGCTATATAGTTTAATTAAAATAAAAAATTATAAATTATGAATTTTAAAATAATGTATAATTATATTTTGTTTTTTTTATAAAAAAACGTCAAATTAAAGTGGGTAAGACTATTATTTTTTAATCTACCATCCTAAATGAACCATTGGAGTCAATTAAATAAATCATAAACTTTTGTTGAATCAATATAGTATTATATATGGTGTTTATATATATAATATTTATTAAAAATCATATTATCAAACATAATTTAGGTGAACAAACCTTAATTTGTATACACACTTTAGAAATTTTCACGTGATTTACCAATAATATATTTTTTTTTCAAAAAAAATAAAATAAAATAATTGGAGCATTAAATATTTAAAATGTAATTATTTCTAAATTTTAAAAAGTTAAAAACCTACCATGTAAATGTAACATATATTTTGTAAAGAGTAGTACAACTTATATATATCAAAGAAATAAAAATAAAATCAAACCCAATTGTACATTAACATAAATTTTATATAGTAGTACTTTGAAATAAGAATATTAATTTAAAATTTTGTTTAAATAATATTTTATGTCATAATTTTATAAAATATATATTATATATATATATATTTGAAACCATATAAATGAATAGTAGCAATTTCAAATTAAAATTACAAACAAACACTTACATACTCCTAAGAGAAGAGGATTAGTGTTCTTTAATTTATTGAAAATAATTATGGTTCCATCGCAATAATTTTCTTTAATAAATGCAATATGTTATTTATTCCATATAATGTTTCTTAATTATGGTGTTTTATTATTTTAGTTACCTTTTATATTTGTTTTTTGAAATAATCCTGGTTTAATAATAAAATATTTATTTATTTATTATTATGATTTTCCTTATAATTATGGCATTATCTTTATTTCCACATATATATATATATATATTTCTTAATTATGAACGGTATCTTTTATTATGTTACGTTTTATTTCATTCTTAACTAGCATAGTGCAATTATTTTATTGTGAAGACAAGTTAATACTATGTCGAAGAAATAAAAGTAATCAAGACTACTGCACACATTGGTATAATAATTATTTTATATACATTTCGGGTGTTTGTTTGGGGTCTGAATTTTGAGTTGGGATTTTTGAATAATAAAAAATTTGAATTTGAATAATTGTACGATGTGATATAAATAGGTGTTGATGTGATCTTTTGAATGTAAAATTGATTTTTAGTATAATATAAAAAATAAAAAATAAGTGTTTGATGTAATATTTTTTTGAAAAAAAAAAAAAAAAGAAATGAATAATATATTTAAAATTCAATTCCCAAACAAATACACACTTCCTGTATTTTTGCCCGAAGGACAATTCTGTTTTAATTATTTTATTATTATAAATTTGCACGTGATTTGTTTGGCTATTGCCTATTTAACAATCGGGTAATTATAGTAGGTGAACCAAGCGGCTAATATGGGCCTTTATTGGGCCAAGTTTATTTGGGTTTAAACTGGGCCTTTGTGGACCGTTGGATTGATTCTGATTTCAGCATGGAGACGAAGGGCTTTGATTGATTTGATTGGCTGAGTGGAAAAGTCAAAATTGAGAGTTTGGAATCGGGGCTCGGTGGGAAGACGTCGATTTCAGTGTGCCGATCACTCCATTGATAGGAGGAGATGGAGTGGGTTGCCGACGAGAGGGAGCTCAAGGACGCCGGCGCCGAGGCCCTCGGCGGTGGTCGGATTGGATTTCGCATACGTGGATGGGAAATCGAGTCTCGGAAGGGCCATATTCTCAACTCTTCTTCTCTCCGACTGTACTCTCTCTCTCTCTCTGTATATATATAATATGTGTATGGATATTCATAGGCGTGGGTGGGTGAGGGTGAATGTTAGAATGTTAGATGCCTGAAATTTCGATTGTTAGGTGTACTGAACAGCTAGCTGCAGGTGTTTCTGAAATCCAGTTGCAATCGGTAATGTTGTTTATTAAAATTCTCTGCGGTGCTGGAATGATTTGTAGTTCTTAAACTGAACCTGCTCAATTTTAATTGTTAGCAGTGTATAGAATTGAGGGTTAAGACTCTCTTTCTTGCTTTTAGGTAGTGTTTTCTGCTGGAAAATTTCATCGTACCGCTGAACATAATTGAGGAAATGAAAAGTTTGTATGAATTTCCCCCATCAGCCCGTAGAATTTATTGAACTAAGTTGATTGTTTTCTGTTTTTTTATGTATTGGAACCCAGGAAGAAATATGATTCCAGATCACACAGTATTACTCAACATTGTAATTCCACTTTGATGTTGGTTTTAGCTGATTGATTTAGAACTGTAATCCGAATAGTAAATACAGAAATATCTCTTATGATAGTTGTTAATTCTACAGCATCTCTTGATCGCCTAGCATATACAAGTCCATTAGCTGTCCTAAATATATTTAATCATTTCCCAAGTTCAAAGTCGGTTTCTGTTGAACCTTCTCAGGATTCAAGGCATACAGTCAGGGTTGTTTGGTGACATACATTATATGTTTTTCACTCTCTTGATCTAGCATGTATGACATGTTACAAGATTGACCTTATCATAATATGTTCCTTCAGGTGGGAAGAGAAGCTTCAGACATCCCATTTTCCGGAGATGGTTTTTGGGGAGAGCTTTTTGGTTCTTAAGCATGTGAATAGTGGTGTTAAAATTCATTTTAATGCCTTTGATGCTCTATCTGGATGGAAGCAAGATGCTCTACCTCCAGTTGAAGTCCCAGCCGCTGCGAAATGGAAATTCCGGTGGTGTGTATTTTACTTATCAATTGAAAACATTCACTATGATATGCTTATGATCACAATATATACTAAATTTCACTTCAGTAGGAATACGCACCATGCTCTTTTGGGAAATGGTGGCTCGGGTTGTTATTGGCTGTATCAATGTTTATTAACTTAAATGTGTTGTAACATTTTGAGAATTTGTTGGATGGTTGACAAAAAGAATAGTTCTATGAACATATATAACTTTTTTGAGTTGTTTCGCCTGGCAATTTTAATTTATGTGATTGCTCTATATGCCTTCATTATTTGATTGAGCTACATAGTTAGGATCTCTGATTCTCTTCTTTTTCATGCTTATAATGTCTCTTCAAGTTTTTGTGCCATTCAAGGGCACAATTACATGGGAAAATTATACTCTGCAGTTTTTGTTAAATAAGGTGGTGCTTCCCCTCATTTTCTGACCATACCTGTTTTAATTTTTCTAATTTCTTTATCCTGCAGCAACCCAACTGATCAGGTGATACTGGATTATGACTATACATTCACAACACCATATTGTGGAAGTGTTGATATTGAGAAAAGCTCTGAGGTTGGCCTTTTTTAGATACATCTGAATTAGGTTTTTGGTAGAATTGGAACACTAAGGTCCCTGTTTGCAAGGCAAGACCGGAGAGATTGTGCATGTTTTGTTGCACTATCATGGCCTCTCTAGTTTTGCTAATATCTTATTATTTTTGCAGACACAAATAAATTTAAATTGAATTTGTCCATCGTATTATATACTACCATTACACTACGTAGTTTTAATTCTTTTCATATTGTACTTATACGATATACTGTTACTCAATTACTAGCCTGGAAGAGGATCTCCTGAGGAAAGTGCCTGTGATCCGCAATGGGAAGACTGCCAGGAGAAAATTGATTTGGCCGCATTATCATCTAAAGAGCAGATTCTTTTCTATGATGAGGTCTGTTATTATTTGTTGAGTGATTCTTTGAGCTTTCTATGAAATATGTCAAGTCCCATGTTGAACTATTTTTCCATGACAAACAGATAATCCTGTATGAAGATGAATTGTCTGATAATGGTGTATCCCTGTTGACAGTAAAAGTGGTAACTTTTATGGTTTTCTAATACCTGTATGAAACAACGGAGTTTAAGCTATAAATTTTGTTTTTATTTTTATTTTTATTTTTATTTTTTTTAAATATGTGCTTTTGCAGAGAGTAATGCCCACTGGATGGTTTCTTCTTTTGCGCTTTTGGGTAAGTTAACTTGGAGATTATTTGACAGGCAAGGTCGTACATTACATTTTACTTCTAATGTTGTGAATGATAGAAGTGGATGTCAAACTCAACATTATACGTACTATTTTCATCATACTATAGTCTTGTATGTGTAAATGTTCAATTTAAAATTTATAATTTATTAGAAGCAGTTGTTGCTCTCTCTAGTTATTCATGCTGAATACCATCTTACAGCTTAGAGTTGATGGAGTCCTCATGAGATTAAGAGACACTCGAATGCATTGTACTTTCAAAGAGAATTCAGAGCCAATTATTCTTCGTGAATGCTGTTGGAGAGAAGTAGCCTTTAAAACCTTGGGATCTGTAAGTGATGCTAAATTTTAATTTATTTCTCTTTTGTACACGGTGGTATCTTGAAGTATATTAGCTATTTAATAAATCCTGTTGATTAATTTAACGTTGTATGTTGTGGAGCCCGAGCTGGGCTGGCAATGGAGCCGCTACTGGAACATCCAGCAACAGAGACCACATGGGATTTGTTGTCGATTTAGGGTTATCCCTGAAGAGGCGGGCCAGATGTTGCATCACTTGATCTTTTAGCCTCTCTTGCTGTCTAATTATTTTGTCTTGATTAATTATCTTTTGCAACTAAGTTCTTATTATGTTATTCATTTCCGCCAGCCCTTGGTTTAGGAATAAATCCATAGGGTTGGTTCATTTCTATTTTTCACCATAAAATCTTGGGTTAGACAGCTAATTGATTACGGCTTGGGACAGGGAGATTTTCCTATAGCTGTTTGATTTCATTCCCATAAATCATAGTTCTATCAAATATTAATATTATCTTTATAAGTGGTTGATCAAGGTTTCCTGATTTGTTTGCTATGCATTTGGATAAAATGATCTTATCGTTTTGAGCTAATTAATAGATTAGCTAGAGTAGAAATTTCTTGTTTCTCAAAAAAATTTTGCTTTTAATTTACTTAAGCCCTGTATTTCTTTTGATTGTTACAGAAAGGATATCCCACTGAATCTGCTGCTTACAGTGATCCTGGAGTCATCAGTGGAAGGCTTCCAATCATAAAGCACAAAACCCAAAAGCTCATAACAGGAAAAATACTGTAAGGTGCTGAATGTCCTTTAGGTTATTTGGTAACTGAAGGCATATTACCTAATCTTCTTGAAGATTAAGAGTGATGTATGATGTGGATTTAGTTTATGTTTTCGGAAACACGGTATACATTTGGTGTGACAGAAGATTAATTATTGATGATGTGAAAGTTGCATCCTGTGAGTAGTCAGCTTACTTTATTAATTATCATGATTTCTAGTTAGGTTGATGACCACTGTGGAGGCTGATAAAACATGATACAGCATCACCATTGGATGCATTGAATTATATCATTCTCTATATATTTCTAAGCGTTTATACAATGCAAAAACCTATAACTGTTCCACTAAATGGAATCAACTGCAACTAGCTTTAGTTGAGAAAGAATCAGAGGATACTTCCATGGCCAAGCAAGAGCAATTAAAATAGACATTGCTTTGAAAGAGTCAAGTACTCTGCATCATATTTTATTAGTTTAATATTTAAACAACAGTGAGTTAAGACTTCAATAGTTTCCATTGTTCACAGATATATCAGTGATTGTGAATGAGATGAAATGCCATATGCTGTCGGCAACTCCACTATCTAGTAAGCAATAAGAAGGTGATTGTGAAGCCATTATATAGAAAACAATTAGTCATGCTCAACTAGAAAGCAACGATGTGTTTTTTCACTAGTATGAAAGGCTATATGTGCTTGTTTAGGATGACTTGGACTAATAAGGGTAAAAGTAAAATTAAATCCGGCCCCAACAGTATCTTTATTCTGTTTGTTCTGGAAATGTTAAATATTTGCTCAGTTCTAATTTAGGTGAGATATTGACCATATTAAACTTCAAACAGTGATAATAACTTTTATGTTCCCGTATTTCCTCAACTGAGCAGCATTGAAACTACAATCATTAGCATTTTCATATCACTCCTACTTGCTCCCACAATCACCTCTTCACCTCTTACAATAACTGTCACTTAAAACTGCTGGTAAATGCCCCTTGTCTCGTCCCCCACTATGATATACCACTCCATCAGAGTTTATGATTATGATGTAGATATAGAATACAAATCTTCTTTAGTTTCCAATTGGGGTATGCTGGTTGCAATTATTTTATCGCCGCCCCATTATGGTCATTGGTCAACCTTGTCAACTGAAGGTGATATTGGGTTAACAAACTTGTGCATCCTCTAGGATTACATGTTTTTGTGTTGTTTCTGTTGTTGGATTATACTATTTCTGTGGCTTTTGAGATTACTCTTTTACTTCTTAAGTTGATTGCTGTGTGGATGAAATACTTTGTATGAGGTCTTCTATCTTTAATATTTTACATCTTTACTTTACACTTCTACTGTTTTATATTCTTGATTATTTCTTATTTTCTATGGTTCCAAAGAATGATGATAGAAACAGTGTAGGGATTTTGGTTATCTGAAAGTGATTTCGTGAGCAATGAACCTGTATGAAAGTACTTGACATTGAAGCTTAAGTATTTGAAGCAAATAATTTTGCTGGTGATTGTTCAAAGCATTGAGAAACCAAAAACAAGTGCATCCCCGATCAAAATATATGATCTGTACCCTCTTTCATTCACAAAATTATTTACAGTGATACATAGCTGCAATATTAACTGCATGCAGTTTACATCTTTCACGGTGATATTTTGTATGATGGGATGAGTAAAAAGAATGAAACTAGAACACTCTTTGCTATCTGAATCTTGAAATTCCTTTTATGAACATAAGCTCAAACTAAGAAGCATTACAGATTATGATTCAAGTGCGTGTAGAATATCTAGAAAAACCATCTATCGCTACGTCATGCATAAAGAGACCTGGATTTCCTTTTCATCAAGTTTACAAGAAACTATGAACTTGCTCCCACCTAGTGAGTGCAGCTCTGTTGGCATTCCATGCTGGAGCTCTTGAAGTTTATATAGCAACTCTTAAAACACTGAAAAATCTCGAGAAAGCACAAAAATAGTTTACAATATGATTTCTATCTGGGAATAGGGATAACAGATGAGAAGCTGATTACAGTTTAAGGTTCAAGTCAAGCATAGTTGAACTTGATGGTTTCAGTTCTGGTTGTTGGGGATCCAACCGGAAACTTCCAGGCCACATAAAATCTGCTGCGTCTTCCAATGCACCAGGCTGCCATGCTATTCCATATCTTGTATTAGGCTCACTTAATCTGGCGACAATGGCGGTTCCATCTCTGACTGGTTTGTGCACCAGAGAATGGGCTTGTACACCAAGTGATCTGAACATGGATGTTTGGACTGGCAGGGACATCATCCTCATCATTTTGTTTGAGTGGTAATGTCTGACTGCTCCTCTTTCCCTCTTGTGAGCATTCTGGTGTCCGCCCAATGCTTGCGAGCTATAGAATTTCCGCATGCAGAAGTTGCATGAGAAAACCTTGGCTGAAGCAGGTCTTGCCGGTGCCTCGGATTCTTTGACTGCTTCTGGAGGATCTCCACCCAAGCTCAAATTCAACCACTTTCCCAGGTTTTGTTCTGGTATTACTTCATCACTTCTTTCTTCAATATGCATCTTTTTAATGGTTTTTTTTTTTGGTTCTTCCAGCTGCGAATTTCTTTTGTACGGAAAGTCCTTCTCCCGGTGATTCTCAGCTCACCCCTTGGTGTTGGACGAAGGTACTCTGCTGAAAACCTCTCTTGACTCTAAATTTATTCTGTATCTGAGGGATGGAATAATTTGTGACTGACAAGCTGAAGCAGTGTTAAATAAGACATGTTATAATTATCATATGTCTGTTCACTGGCCCTACCAAGTGATGCCTGGTTGTCCCATGGGAGAATGCTTACATCATCTTTCATTGTTACCTCTATCCAGCTTTAGATTCCCCACTTATCATTTCTTTTTCTTCTCTGTTGAAACTACAATAACTTTAACTGGTTTGCATTGGATTAGTTAAAATTGACCTAACGTTGAAGCTCCTATTTAATTCCACTAGTAGCCAGATCAAATCCTCCTTTATTTTTCTATTGCCTGCCATGTTCTCTGCCTACTTAAAGCCATATCATCTGATTGTTAAAAGACTTTTGTATGCCTTTATATCTGTGATATGCTTTGGAACCTAATCTTGGATCGTCCTAGAATAGTTCCCGGCTATTATTCCTGACCTGTCTGTAAATTTTATCTTATTTGTTACAAGCATATAGTGTAGAGAGTAGATGGATTCCACCATGAAAGAGTGTTTCCTCTGTCATGATGTGTGAGTGGATGATAAGCTTCGATCTGGACTATAGGTGTTGAGGTAGTGATTGAAGAATTATATCGAGGATTGGGTGCGTTCTGATTTTGATGCTTTGGAAAGTGGTGGGGACTGGAAACTAAACAATAATGGTGATAAAAGTAGGATAGGAAAGATTTTGGGGTATCTTAACCAGTTTCCTCTTTAGTTTTATCTGAAAACATGGATATCTAGGTGGGTGTCTCCGTGCTGGGGCTTGTTGGCAAAATCTTCTTTGCTTTTCTGCTGTGTAATGTAATTGGAGGAATGTACTCTGAACTCAATGCTATCATATCATATGCCAAGTGAAAAAGAGATGACAGCTCTATTTACCTGATATGAGTTATATATATATATATATATCTCTAATGTCCTTGACGGCCATGAGTTATCGACTTTATTCTAGAGTGAGTGTTGCACTACTAAAAGCTGATGTTAATATATACATTGAACATACGTATACGCACTGAGTTTGATTCTTGATGATGAGGTGGGTCATCACCATCTTGTCTGATGGGTTTGCGTTGCGTTGCGTTCAACATAACTCGATGATGTTGGTTTCATCGAATGGGAATAGAAAATGAGAATGGATTGCTTTCCTAGAGATTGGATGTTTACATGCATGATTAGCATTAAGCATTAGAAAGTAACATTTCATTAGTCATTTAGTTTGTTCAGCAACATTTTACTTTGATGAATCTTGTTAGGAAAGAACCGTCATTAGATAAATTCATCCAGCCTTTATTGATAAGACTTTTTAAAAGAAATTAGGAAAAAAGAAAAGAAAAGTAAATGCCAAGTGTTGGCATGAGATTGTATTGATGTTGATTTTAGGGGACATGAAGATACCTTACAGCTAACTCACTAAGTTGTTTCAGAAGCTGAGTTCAAACTAGTTTCTCCTCAGAACCAAACAAAGATTTTTAAAAAACAATAATAAATAAATAAGAGATATCAGTTTTCTGGGGGGTGTCTCTGGACCACTGAATTTGATATTCTATTTCTTATATATGTATATATATGGCTGTGAAACATTCCTCAGAGTTTGAATTATATTAGAGAAGCACAAGTTGGTTATAGTCCTCTCAGTATGAAATATTGGTAGAATATTAAGAATAAAGTGGAACCGTAGTGGTGGGGTATCTATCTGCAAAAGAAAAGTAGATAGTTATTATACTAAGCCCTCTTAGAGTCTTAGTACAATACACACACTTTGAAGAGTGTTTTTTTAATCATAGATCTCTCTTAAGGCTTAGTAAAAGTTGGCTTTAGCTTTGGCACATATCCAAATAATTTGAAACTGTGACAAAGTTGAATAGGGCTTCATTTTACATCATTATTATTATTACTCAAATGTGTTTTGAAGCTTTGTTATTCCTAAGAAAGTTACATGTGTGCTTGACATGGGAAAGACAAAAAAGAAGAAGAAAAAGGTAGATGGTTGAAACCTGTGGTATAAATTCTTCTTAGTCCTGTTCCACCTAATGTCACAGTATTTGTGTGTGGGCCCCAACTATTATTATTATTGGCAGTGCAAAGTTAACTAGAGTGGGAACATAGTGTGGCCTACCTACACACCAGTTTTCTAGTGTTGCATGCAAAAGTTGACAAGCTGGAAATGACAGGACTATATGGATTTCTCCTCTTGCTATCAAATTGGGTGTGGATTTATTCTATTGTGAAAATACATACATACCTTTGAAATTTGTAAAAAATCAAATAATAGTGTTATAGGATTCCCTATATATATATATATATATATAATATTTTTAAGTGTGTAGGAGACCTAAAGAAACAAACAAAATTGTTTTCGTTCCATTCTCATTCTTATCTGTTTGGTCAGTCAGTCAGTCACATATTTGGGGTTTTAAGCTAAAAAGCAGGAGACAGATTATAGTGGTTGAGGATGTTTGAGTGAAATTTGAGAAATTTTAGGATTGGACGGGAAGGGATAGTTTCTCATGATCTGCACTGTTTCGTGGGCAAGTTTTGGACTCAATTATTTAAATAATATATATATATATATATATATTAAAAATAATCAGATGACTTGGTAGAGGCAGATTCATCTCCCAAGAGTTTGCTATGTGAGTTTTAATTTGACCAAGCTACTTTGTCTGTTTTACAGTTTTAATTTTAGATATTATTAAAATTAGCAAGAATTGTATTAATAAAAATAATTATAAATTAAAATTAATATGATTAAATAGTTTAATTAAAATTAAAAAATATATAAATTATAAATTTTAAAATATAATTAAAATGTATAATTATATTTTCACAAAAAGAATAAATAAATTATGTGGAACGAAATGAAATAAAAAAATTGAATAAATGGACAAATTACAACATAAATTTAATAATATAATATATATAAATTATTGTTATTATTATCACTATATTTTATAATTTCGAAATATTTAATTATTATTATTATATTTATGTTATAAATATTTATAAAACAAAATAATAATTTTATTATATAAAAATTGGTGTGGCAAAGGTTGACATTCTGCCAGTCAAACTCGCCACATTATTCTTGTAAATTTATTATTTTTTGCAATTCTTTTAATAATTGAGTCCAAGTTTTGTTCTCTGGTTGTGAAAATTACAATGCATCTGCTTAAAAAAAAGTAATACTCCTGTTGAATATGCAAGTATTTATTTACTTTTTGTACAATATAAATGTAAAAAGATTGTCTTTACCTCTAAATAATAATTTAGATATTTTTATAATAATATATAAATTTTAAAATTTTTTAAAGTTATAAAAGAGTACAATTTAACAAAAAATAAATAGATACGTTGATTTTGAATAAATCAAAACTAAAAAATATATATATATATTAATTCCCAATGGAAGGACTACGATTTTTGACTTAAAACAATATTTTATTTTTTTTATAATGGTTCAAAAAAATAAATTTAAATTTAAATGAAAAAGAAATACTATTTTCATATTAAATAAATATTTTAATCTAAAAAATGCCTGAAAAAATCTTTTACCTTATAAAATCATTTATAAACAGAAAAATATTAAAACTATACTGCTACAATTATAGATAATGATATGTTACAGGTAGAGTATTACTATTATTTATCATTATCATTAGTATTATTTAGTTAAAGTCTAGTGAAAAATGACTTGACCTTCCGATACATACAAAAGAACAAGTAAATAACAATTTGATTGTTGAAAAGTACAATTCAACACTAATCATCCAATAACTTTTTATTTAATTTTATTTAACAGATCTTGCAAAAAAAATATTTACGATGAATATTGATGCATTCAGTGGCATTCATCAATAGAACTTCCCCATCCCCACTAACTACTAGATGGTGCATACTTTATATAAAAAAAAAAAAATGAAAAATAAAGATATACAAATTAAAAATCCAAATAGGGCATATCCTCCTTAATGCAAATAATGCATATCATATAAAATAAAAGCATGTAATATTTCACGTGCTCTTAATTATTGTGTTATATTTATATAAATAATATGCTTCCTACTATAGTAATTATGTGTCGTTCTTACAATAAGGGGATATGAAAACAGTGTCCACCATAGCATTAATTGAATTATAAAAGAAAAAGGCATCAATCTCCATGTGTAGGTCAGCACAACTGTTTCTACAGATTCATGAAATCCTCTTGTTCTTTTCTGGCTACAACTATCAGAAAATCAATGTCCCATCTACCAAAAAATCGATTTTTTTTTTTTTAACAAAAAAAAACATGAAAAATGGCATACCATTCTTTTATTGATATATTCTTGCTTTCCCAACATGGGGAAAGTTCCCTGGAGGATAACACCACAAGTCCAAGATCTTTGAGGGCACCAATTGTGCTGATCTATAGATATGTTTTTTTAAGTACCTTCAACAATGTAAAAACAAACACAGTTAGCTCATAACATGTGGACGGCACCGAGGACTATGTGCAAGAAGAAAAACAACTTTAAAAAATTGTGTTGTGTGCGATTCGAAACACGCTAAAAGGATATGTGCTTGGTGACTTGTCAACCACTTCCAACAAGCATTAGCCAGTAAGAACCACTTGTTTCTTGAAAACTAATATGGTGGACCAAAGCCAAAAAATTCGATCTCCTAAGATTAAAAGTGTTTTTAATAGTTAAAAGCACTGCCTTCTCGTATCATGTGATGCAGCTAATGAGGGAAACAAGCCCATTGTCTAATTTTCTTCCTCCAACAATGAGTGTTAAGTAGAAATGAAGAGCCTGGATTGGCCCGTTCGGGTATATCTAGGATTATTCTTATAATATAGCATATGGTAAAGAAAGATCAAGGATGAGGTTAATCATATTGTAATGATGAAGAATCGACAAAATTCAAGTGAAGTTTCTTCGAAGCCATACAGTAAGGGGTGTAGGCGAATCATGTAACTCGACTTTAGATCAAACTACTGGCAGATGCTGAAGTTAAGCCAAGCATGATATGAAAATTTTCATTGTGAAATTATAAAAAAAAACTTCAGTATCACTAGAGATGTAAATATATCAAGTTCAATTGTTCAAAAGCCTATAACAGCCCTTGTTTTTACGTAGCACAAGAAGTGGAGAAAAAGCACATATGTAACTCAAGATATTGCAACAATATTATGCAGATCTCCCTTCCCATAGCAAGATATGAAGCTGGGAATAATTTAATCAGGCGAGAACAAAAAATATAGGCTAAAGACAATGATCCAACAAAGACAATTTGCATGTGCTACGTATTAACTAGACATTAGACGCAGCAAGAGAACTAGTATACCTTATAATCATTAGCAAGAGAAATTAAGGCGTGTTTGGTTCAAGAATTTTGGCAAAATTTTACTATTCACTAAATTTTTTCCTTTAAAAAAATTAAATCAAACACGTAATTTTCATTTTTTATATTATACAAAAAATCAATTTTTACATTCAAACTATCACATCAACACCTATTTATATCACATCATACAATTATTCAAAATCAAAACCCAAACCCAAACCCAAATCCGTAATCCAAACCCCCAACCAAACAAAAAACAAACATTTCTTTTAAACCTCAACTTACAAACTCAGAAATATAAACCAACATTTTGGCCCTAACTTTTCCTGCTAATTTTTTCTCATCGCCTAGCTCTGATAAAGCTAACAAACTGTTTTAACTACGTATAAAAACTTCAAAATCATCAACATTTCATCCTTATGGAAAATAAACATTTCTTTTAACGCTCATCTTATACAACTCAGAAAAATAAACTAATATTTTGGCCCTAAGTGTTCATCACTTCATCTTTCATTTTTCCTGCTAAATGTTCCTCATCAGCTAACTCTCATTAAGCTAACAAATAGTTTTAACTACCCTACCCATTGATTGGCCAGTATAAAATCTAATTCGATAAGAAAAGTTCGTAAAGATAATAGAATCCATTATTTTCTTCATGGAGATCTATCAAGTACCTAAACTCAGAATCACAACACAAACTACTAGCGATCCTGACAAGAACGGCGGAAGGTACCGTGGGACAGCTCACAGCATGCTCGCAAATTAGTTGCCAAGTGAGAAGTCAACAACGATCTACCCATCATGCTATGCAGAGGCATCAATGACTGAGTGCATCCCAACTCCCCCAATGTCCTGCATTAGATTGAAACCACTAATTGAGTTAGCTGCAGAAAGTGGAAGATCATTTCCATTGACATATTGTTTCTCCAGAATACATAGTTGCAAGTTGCAACCCTAGAACACTTTTCTGCCATCTAGGGAATCCGACAGTTTTCATTGAGAAGTTACTCAGGCAAGCAATGAAGCATTTGTAACTTAGGTTTCGAATCTAAGCAAGCCAATCAATACTGACGCAGTCTGACCAAATCAATTAGAGAATCTAATTCAACCTTGAGTCTAAACGAGAAGATGTTCATCTCTAGATTGAATGCTACGATTGATCAAATAAGGCTTGGAAAACCGAATTGAGTAAATAAATAAGTCCTGGCCTGGGATTGGAGAAGGAAAAGGGGCGGCGCGAGGAAGAGGCAGGTGGAGGACGTAGACGGCGAGGGGCAGATGCCGGGACGGATGGGCGGAAGGCAGACGCCCGAGCTATAGATCTGGAAACCGAACCTCGCCATGCCGCCATTGTTGTGCTGCTGCTCTGCGCTGCAATGTTTGGGAAATTTCAAGGGTTTACAGCGAGGGTTTTGGAGGAATTATACAGTGCGGCGCGGCGCAGAGTATCCTGCGCGCTCATTGGCCCGCCATCATTTTATTTTCGATTTTTAAAAATTTGCATTCATCGAGTCCACTCGTTGAAATAAAGATGTGCATTGGGTAGTCGTTAAATTGGTCGATATAATTAATATACATTTTTATTACTTCATCTATAAAATATTATTTCAAATTAAAATAATAAATAAACAAACCCTAAATATATATATAAATAAAACTTTATTAATGAATTATTATTAAAGTTTCTAAAAAATTGGGCCAGCCAAACCTACCATGATTTCAAATTGGGTTGACTTTAGACTTTGTATTTGAGCCCAATTTAAAAATGGGCTAGGCCTGTCCAGTACCATTCAAAATTGCTACTTCTTGTGTGAATTGGTTTTCCAACTAATAACCAAACAAAATGTAAATTTTTACATAACATTTTTTTCAATGAAAATAAATAGTTTGTGCAATGTTATTTATTATTATTTTTTTTTTAATAATGTGAAAATTTGCAACGTTATTTTTTGAGTGAACTTTGGTTAAGTTTTAAACTAAATCCAAAAGTCTACAAACTAGATCCGCTAATGCAAGTCACACTATGCGACTTTAGGTATTATTAATTAACCGTTTCACAAATAATATAATAAATATACATAAGCAAAATATATTATTTTATACTTCATATGTCCCGGCTAATTGTACATTATGTTTGAGTGCAAAATTAATAAATAATAATATTTTAATATAAAAATAACATAGATATAGAGTAAATTAAGAGTATTATTAAATAATCATTAAAAAATTGATAAAAAAAAATATGACTATAAATCAAAATAGTAAAAAATGGGCTATTATTTGTTAAAATAGAATAATTATAAAATTGTAATAAAATTACTTTCTAAAATTTAACAGATAAACGACAACAAAAATTTGTCAAAATTATAACAGGTAAATTTATATTTAATAAATTGGTAAGTTTTATAATATAATTTATTTATTTTTTATTATTGTCAATATTTGAAAGTTTTTGGTAGTTTCAAAATGGTATGTGTTCTTTTAGTTTTTTCTCTTGCATTATTTCTCAAAATTATATATATTCATTATTTTTATATTATCTATATATTTTTTTATATTAAAAAAAAATTATTAATTTAAACTATTTCATCAAATAAACACACATTAGGACTTTGATTAAATTTATACCACCTAAGACGAATAAATTTATTGAAAAATAATTAAAATGAATTTTGCACTGCATATTTATTTGTACAAATTTTTATATTTTTATATGACTAGTATGTTCAATAACCTTGAAAATTAATACCAGAATATATTTTGTACATTATATCAAATTATATTATTGAAAAAAAAATCTAAAATTATTTTATGATTTTGTAATACCTTAATGTGTCAACAATAACTTAATATGTAAGTGGTCAATATAATACTATTTCTTCTGTTCCACATTAAATCTTGATATTTTATATTTATGTTCGTTCTATACAATTTGTTCTTTTTTTAAAAAATATATATATATATACACTTTAATTATATTTCAAATATTTAATTTATATTAAATAATAATTTTTACTAATACAATTATTAATTGGTAACTAATTATATTTATCAAAATTCTCAACACTAATCCATTCCATTAAATTTTATTTTGACCAACGCTAGTAACGTCCCTAACTAGCCAATTAATTCAAATTCCCTTATCCAAAAATAACCAATTTCAATCATTACAAATTTAATTTATTTCTCCATTTCTTCACTCCACAATCCATGCCAATTATGTATATATATATATATATATATATCTTACAATTACAATATGCATAAACAAACTAATAAAATTAACAAATTTTTATAAAATAATGGCAAAATCATTTCCACACTCCCTTGTCTTGATACTATTCACAATACTATCAACCCTTTCCCAATCAATCCTAGCCGTCAAATATGTAGCCATCAACGACGCCAAGCAATTCCCCGGTGGGGCCCGGTTCGAGCGCGAGATCGGAATCCCCTACACTTTACAAATCATGAAAAAAATCAACCTTTTTATCTACAAAATGTTCCAACAAAAAATCGAGGGCGAAAAGCGCACAATCGACACCGTCCATCTCTACATCCAACAATTCGACGGCGCTGAAGGAATAACTTACGGCGATCACGTTAATGTCAGTGCATTGTACCTTCAGGGCTACCAGGGGAACCTTAAATGGGAATTTACTTCCTTATTGTACCATGAATTGACGCACGTGTTCCAATGGATATCGGGGCCTATGGGACTCGTCGAAGGGATCGCCGATTATACTATTCTTAAAGCTAATTATTACCCGCCCGGGTTTGCCAAGCCCGGACAGGGTGATAGGTGGGATCAAGGGTATGATATAACGGCTAGATTTTTGGAATATTGTGACAGTTTGAAGTCGGGATTTGTGGCGGCGCTAAACCGTAAGATGAAGGATGGTTATAGTGATGATTATTTTGTTGAGTTGTTGGGAAAACCTGTAAATCAATTGTGGAGTGAGTACAAGGCTCGTTATAATCATAATGCTGTGTTGCCGTTTGCTTTTAGGCAAAGATTCAGATAAATTAAATATATAATTGTTGGATGTAATGAATAAAACAATTTAATTTAAATTTGTTATGTCATGTTTTTATTTTGCTTATGATTGAATATAATATATAAGAAAAAAAGTAATATATTTTTATTAAAAATTATAATGGTGGTAAAGTAGATAAAAAAAAAATATTAAGATGATATTTAAAAAAGAATAATAATTTGTACTGTGTTTGCAGACTCTTTGTTTGCTTGTGTATCTTTTCCGTTCTTTCTTCATTTTTTTTTTAATGGTTTGTATTGGATGCGGAAAGGAGTTAAAAGATTATATTTCCAATAATAAAATATGCATGTAAATGATTATATTTATTTATTTAGAATATTATTAAAAAATATATTTATAAACAAATTATGACCCCGAATGATTATATATGGTTTGTATTTTTGTCTTATAAGTCTATATATATATATATATTAATTTTTTTCAACATATTTTTTTATTACTATTATGTTATGGGATTCTTTTGTTTATTGTTTATACTACTTGAAAATATACACACCTATGTACTACATAATATTAATAAAAATATATAAAAGTAATTGCATTCAATATTTCATACTATAATAAATTTCATCAGACAATGTATCAATAAATTTATACTTGAATCGGTCCTCACGATAAATTGATTAAAGATAGTGACTCGGCCTTGGGCCAAGGCCGACTGGCCCATAAGACCTCAATATAATATATATATATATTAATTAATTTATTGAAATTGATTAAAAATTTATATCGGATTAATATTAAAATATTTCAATTTTTATATAAATGATTACAAATATATTATTATATATAATTAATTTATAAATAAATATCAAAATAATCTTAAATAATTTTATTAATTAATAAAATATTAGTTCATCCCTTTATATTCAAAGTAATTATTTATTTTTTGCTTAATAATAGTATTTTAATTGTAGTGAATAATTAAAATTAGTGTAATGATATTTTTATTTTTTTTTTTTTTTTTTTTTTTGTAAAAGTAACGATGTTTTAATTATAGTGGATAATTAAAAATAATGTAATAATATTGTTGTATTTTTTATATAAAAATAATAATGTAATATAAAATAAGATATTAATAAAAAATAAAATATTTAATAAAACACTTACTTTATAAATAAAAATATATATACTTTGTTAGCAAGGAATTGAGTGCTAAACCGCCAGACACCTAAAATGGATACACGGAAAATTCTTCCATCCATCACCACTTTGGACTCATTCATTCTCTGCCTAATATTTTTCCACAAGGCTATTTATTACCTACCTATACCTATACCTATACCTATACCTATATATATAATATAATGTTCCAGTTCAGACATAATCCCAACAACCTGAAACTCAAAATGACAACCTTAAACATGGCCTTCATCCTCCTGGCACTTCTGATCGGTGCCTCCGCCATTCCCGGCGGCGCGGCGGTGGACTACACCGTCACCAACAACGCCGGGACCACGCCGGGCGGCGCCCGGTTCAACACCGACATCGGCGAGGACTACACCCGCCAGACCATGGAAGCCGCCACCAACTTCATCTGGGACATCTTCCAGCAGACCGACCCGGCGGACAGGAAGAACGTCGACATAGTCAAAGTTTTCATCGACGAAAAGATCCCTTACATCGCCTACACCAGCGGCAATGAAATCCACTTCGACTCCGGCTACGTAAACGGCATCGCCGGGGACGTCCGGCGGGACTTCGCCGGCGTGTTGTACCACGAGATGACGCACGTTTGGCAGTGGGGCGGCCCCTCTGGGGTGATCGAGGGAATAGCCGATTTCGTGCGGCTCAAAGCCGACTACGCGCCGAGCCACTGGAAGGGCCCCGGGGAGGGTACCAATTGGGACGATGGGTACGACGTGACGGCGAGGTTTCTGGACTACTGTAATGAGCTCCGGAGCGGCTTCGTGGCTGAGCTGAACAAGAAGATGAGGAACGGCTACAGTGACATCTACTTCGAGGACCTTCTCGGAAAGCCGGTCGGTGTTCTCTGGTCGGATTACAAAGCTAAATATGGCAACCCTTAGATTGCCCGACCCGACCCGGCCCACGAACTCACATTAATAATAATAATAATAATAATAATAATGTTTTGTTTGAGTTTATACTAAGAAAAAGGTACTCCTTTCCGAATTATTTATGTCACTTTCATTAAACATTGTAAGCGGAATTAAGAAGGGACTTTGACCACAAGCCTAAAAGAAAAAATTAGTATGAAAAATGATAATTTTAAATCTAATATGGTGGACCAAGGTTTATTTATCTATTCTACTCTTCATTATATTATATTAAATTTAATATAATACATAATATTTTTAATCATAAATTTCTTATATATATATATATATATTTTTTATCTAAAATATTATTTTTATACTACTTTTTTTTATTATTATTATATTTTTTATCACCTCAATATATTGTCACGGTGATTTGGTGGAATTGAGCAATTCACCAGAAAAATAAATTATTGATTTATATCAGCTCATTTTATAATTCGAAATAACAATGAATTAAAAGAACAATTTTGTCCCTTCTCCCAAGCTAATTCTGTCACTAATAGCAAACAGTGATAACAAGTCTTGATTATGTGTTATCTCCTTAACTTTTTTCTTTGTGGATAACTACATAGTGAAATTTTCGTTTGCAATCATCCCTATAGGAATCAACCATATAAGCTTTAGTTTCTCATCATTTAGGTGTGTCTGTATTTTTTATTTGGCCTTCAATTATGATATTATAGGCTACAAGATGTCGACGTCCGTGAAAGATGGTGACTGTAATCACTTAATATTAGTTTAGATTAATTTTGAAAGATTTATTTTAGATTTGATATACGGTTTGATTTCATCCATAAGTTGGATTATTTTGTTTAGTGTTGTTTTATAGTGGCTCTTATTATGATAATCAATAATATCGCAAATTCTGAGTTTTCGTAAAATATTTTTTAATATGGTATTATAACCTATTTTTTTCTTCAACTAGACATAGTGTACCAACCATCGTTATTGTGGGTGCATTCAACTTGGATTGTACCATGAGATTTTGTGATTTTGAATCATATATTTACAAGTATGTTTCTTTGCATTTGAAATTTTTTTGCGATGTTATCCGCCATTAGTTGCCTATCTGTTGTCTACATGTGATATATTTGGTGTTTGCGATCTACGATGCTATCTGTTATTCGCTGCTTGTCTATTGCCTACGTCAGGTATGTCTTGATATTTGTAATCTATAGTATATTTGTTTGTTTGCGTAGCTGTAAGCTGTCTGGTCATCAATGATATGTTTGTCTATGTAGCTGTAAGCTAGATGTGTGCTTATGAGTGATCCGTTTGTTTGCGTACTGTGAGCGGTCTGCTTATCAGTGATATATTTGTCTGTGTATTACTATCGGTGATCTGTCAGTTGATCTGTTTACCGTCTTTATATCGGTTATTTATCTGCGTCTGTCTGGTGTCTGCGATCAACTTGGACTCCCTATCAGAGTTCTATCTATGTATCTATCTGAAATTTGTCTGCATTTTACTCTAATATCAATCAGAGTCCTATTATTTCGATTATGTGTGCTTCCGACTTATATTTTTTTTCAAGCAAACTCAAGTTAATTTTTACTACTCTTTTGAGTTTGAGGAGTGATGTTAAAATATTTTATATTTAAGTTACGATTTGATTTTATTCATAAGTTGAATTATATTGGTTAGTGTCTATCGAGTCTATGATCCATCATGCCTGTTTTTTAAAGATTCAAGCACAATTTTTTTTTGTACCGGCTGCTTATTTTGGCCACCTCTACTGCTAAGCGATTGCAAAATATAATTCAAATTTGATAGGATTGAGTAAAAGGCTAAAAATTATTTATAATAAAAGAATTAAAACGGCACATTAAAAAAATAGAATCAAAGTATAAACAAGTAAACCCCCGAATTGACGTCCAAATGGAAGCCTAGAAAATTCTTCAATCACTACATTGGACTCATTCTTTGCCCATTTTTTTACACAAGCCTATGTTTGAATGAATATATATATATATATATAGGGGTTCAGAGTTCAGACATAATCCCAACAGTCATAAACTCAAATAATGACAACCTTAAACATGGCCTTTATCCTTCTGGCACTGCTGATCGGCGCTTCCGCCATTCCCGGCGGCGCGGCGGTGGAATACACCGTCACCAACAACGCCGCCAGCACGCCGGGCGGCGCACGGTTCAACACAGACATCGGCGAGGACTACACCCGCCGGACCATGGGCGGCGCCACTGACTTCATCTGGGAAATCTTCCAGCAGAGCGACCCGGCGGACAGGAAGAACGTCGACATAGTCAACCTTTTCATCGACGAAAATAATCCCTACATCGCCTACACCAGCGGCAATGAAATCCACTTCGACTCCGGCTACATAAACGGCATCTCCGGCGACGTCCGGCAGGAATTCGCCGGCGTCTTGTACCACGAGATGACGCACATTTGGCAGTGGGGCGGCCCCTCGGGGGTGATCGAGGGAATAGCCGATTTCGTGCGGCTCAAAGCCGACTACGCGCCGAGCCACTGGGTTGGCCCCGGGGGCGGCGAGAAGTGGGACGAGGGGTACGACGTGACGGCGAGGTTTCTGGACTACTGTAATGACCTCCGGAGCGGCTTCGTGGCGGAGCTGAACAAGAAGATGAGGAACGGCTACAGTGACAGCTACTTCGAAGACCTTCTGGGAAAGCCGGTCGATGTTCTCTGGTCGGATTACAAAGCTAAATATGGCAACCCTTAGATTGCCCGACCCGACCCGACTCACTCAGTTTAATAATAATAATTGGCATGTTGCTTTTGAGTTTTTATCTCGTTTTTTACTATTCGAACATTCTCTAAAAAAAAAATTATTCATGCTCAAGATGTTTACGATTACTTTGTTCTTTTGAAGGATTTATTGGATTTTAATATTTATCAAATTTTTTCTTTTCAAAATATTAAATCAAAATTTTATTTTATATTTTTATATTATATTAAAAATTAATTTTATATTCAAAATATTATAACAATACCTATTTATATTAATATTTTTTTCGTCAATCAGTTTCTTTGCATTTTGCAATATTGAACACAACCTTGAGCGACAAAAATAGTAGTATTTAATGTAAAAATAAGGTATGTGAGAAGTAAAATAAGGTATTTCGATGAATTTATTATAAAGTTCATAAAAATAATAATGTAAATAGAAGAGATAATGACAAATTAATTATTATTTGTTAAAATATTAATAATAAAATTATGACTGAATACTTTTTTTACTGTAAATAAATTATACATAAATTTAACATTAGAAAATAAAAACTAACATAATTATTTTAGAAGTAGAAAGTACATATTTTTGTCTAAAAAAAACCAAAAAACACAGCCAATATATATATTATTGACTATTTCTCCTAGTGAATAATATATTGTGTGTTATTTAATAGTATATGATATTACTACTAGAAGCACATTATTCATACTAATATAATATAAATATAATAAAAAAAATAAAAATATATTTTATTACTGGTTTAATTATTAAGTTAAAATTTTGGTTGAGAGTGATTTATTTAATTAATATTTAGTTTATAATATAATAAATATATGATATGTCAGTGAAAATATGAGGGCTTTTATATGGATTTAAATGGAGGTGACTCTTGGTATATTTTGCAAATGATGAATATTAAATTAGTGCAAAGATGTTGTTGTAGTCCTCAAATTTGCTTATAATATATTCTTTAGTGACTAAGTAATCCCGAAAAAAATGAACGGCTAATGACATGAAAATAGTGGAATACATATGTATACTTGAAATGGTATAAGTAAAATATATGATCATATTTGTTTATTTAAATAAGATTCCTGATTCTACTAAGTACTTCACATTAGGAGAATTACAATGTCTGTGTTTACTTGTGAGATTTTGGTTTTTTGTTTTGGTTTTAAATAGTAAAATTTTGAATTGAAATAATTGTTTGATGTGATATAAACAAGTATTGACGTGATGTTTTTTAATATAAAATTTAATTCTAGTATAATTTCATTTTTTGATGTGATATTTTTCTATATTACACTAAAAATAAATTTTACATTCAAAATATTATACGGCTATTTCAATTTAAAATTTTTATTACTCAAATCAAAATCAAAATTAAAATTAAAATCCAAACTCTCCAACAAATACACATGGAAACATGGAAAATTCTTCCACACCTTCCAAACCCGCAAACAAAATACACATAGAAACATGGAAAATTCTTCCACACTACTTTTGACTCATTGTTTGCACAATTTTTTCCACAAGCCTATATACGGCTTTATCTCTCTATAAATACATACGTAATTCAGACATAATCCCAACAACCTGAAACTCAAAAAATGACAACCTTAAACATAGCCTTTATCCTCCTGGCACTGTTAATCGGCGCTTCCACCATTCCCGGCGGCGCAGCGGTCGAGTACATCGTGACCAACAACGCCGCGACCACGCCGGGCGGCGCCCGGTTCAACACCGACATCGGCGACGACTACAGCCGCCGAACCATGGAAGCCGCAACCAACTTCATCTGGGACATCTTCCAGCAGACCGACCCGGCGGACAGGAAGAACGTCGAAAAAGTCAACCTTTTCATTGACGACGATGCCCTGAAGCCGTTCATCGCCTACGCCATGGACAATGAAATCCACGCCGGCGCCAGCTACATAAACGGCATCTCCGGCGACGTCCGGCGGGATTTCGACGGCGTCATGTACCACGAGATGACGCACATTTGGCAGTGGAGCGGCCCCTTATGGGTGATCGAGGGAATAGCCGATTTCGTGCGGCTCAAAGCCGACTACGCGCCGAGCCACTGGGTGGGCCCCGGGGGCGGCGAGAAGTGGAACATGGGGTACGACGTGACGGCGAGATTCCTCGACTACTGTAATGACCTCAAGAGCGGCTTCGTGGCTGAGCTGAACTTGAAGATGAGGAACGGCTACAGTGACAGCTTCTTCCAGGACATTCTTGGAAAGCCGGTCGATGTTCTATGGTCGGATTACAAAGCTAAATACAACACTCCTTAGATTGCCCGACCCGACCCGACCCACTCAGTTTAATAATAATAACAATAATAATAACTGCCGTGTTTCCTTTTTAATTTTTATCTTGTTTCTTACTATTCAAACATTCTCTAAAATAAAAAGACTCATGTCCTAGATGTTTACATCACTTCCGTTAAAACACGAAAATTAAAAAATAATAGTTATTTATGTATTTTATTTTAAGATATTATATGTCTTTTATTTGTATAAAATTATAAAACTTATATAATAAAATTTATATTTATACTCAAATATTAATTTTGAACAAAAATGATATTTCGTGCAAAATTTAATCTAATGTAAAAAAGTTTTATACAATAAATAAAATATGAAATATTTTGTATGTATTACAATACAAGAAAGTGTTATAATTTACCTTAAAAAGAAACACAGCCAAAATAATACATATATATGTGCGGTTAAATATAAACAAATAGCAAGAAATGATATACCTCTATAGGACAGGGTCATAAATCCAAATTGTAAAATAATAGAATTACATTATGGGAATTTGCAAATCAAATTGGGTAAGACAAATCAGACGAATGGTATGTGTCAAACAAAATTTGGAGTCATCAAGATTTGACCAACTTGATTGCTTTAATATAGAGATTGGCTGATCTGGAAAATGTTGATTTAAAGACTTGTATATCTTTCCAATTTACACAATTTGAATATGGAGAATAAGCTATCCAATTTTTGTATTTTTTTTTTTTTGTTTTGAAATAATATTTATAAATTTATTGATAAATGATTGTAATTTGTGGAAAACGTTGGAAAAATTGAAACAAAACCAACATTATTATTTTACGGGAGTAGATCCTCGCCGCATTCTCCCATGCCCAATCCAGCCCCACACACAGGGTATATATATATACATAATTGTGTATGTATAGAACGTGTCCGTACACGAGGCCGACGATCTCATCCCTTATTTTATCAAAAATATAAGCTTTTTTTGGATAGATATTTTTTTAAAAAAATTAAATTTAAAAAATTTAAAAAAATAAAAAATTAATATTTATATCTGTGATGTTTTTTAAAAAAATAAATAACGTCAGAATAAATGAAAGTATAATACTCCTAGTGATGAGTGAAAGTCTATTCTATAAATAAAGGTTATAGAATTGCAGATTCACTGGGATCACCATCCCCCTATCCCCTCAGTACGGTATATATATATTGTATGTGTATCTATATATGTGTATGGCGCAGGGGTGGTGATCCTCTCCCCAAGTTGCGTGTCAAAGTAAGAAACTGATTGGACGATTTTGGATAATTCACTTCCATTTTGTGGTTCTTATATTCCCAGCAAAAATCCATGTCTTGCTGCTCACTATTTACTTTTGACTTTAACCAAATTTAATACCTGGAAATTAAATTTAATTTACGTATCCAAATTCCCCATTACTTTTAACAATAATTAAGTGGCTTATAAGTATATATAACACGGCCATCAACACACGACAGGAGCAACATGACTACGTAGAATTGATGTTTTATTATTAAATAAAAATATTATTGTATTATTCGTAATTTATTTGACAATTTTACAAGTAAAAGAAGTACAACATCTGATCCGCATTAATTACGAACACATCATTTATGAGGCGCGTCCAGACACGCGCACAACCTCCTCCACAAATTCCACAATGTTCCGATAAGACGAGCCGCCCTCCGCCACCGCATCCGCCGCCGCCTTCTTCCACCTCGCGGCGTTCTCCTTCAACTTCTCCGCCGTAGGCCCGGCGGTCGCCGCCCTCAGGCACTCCGCGATCTCGCCGCGCGGGACAATCCGGCCGGCGGCCTCGCCCCGGCCCAGCCGGACCCCGACGCCGAAAACATCCACCAAGAACTTGGCGTTGGTCACCTGATCCCCCCACTGAGGGAACGCCACCGCCGGAACGCCGCTCGCCAGCGCCTCCACGGTGGAGTTCCAGCCGCAGTGCGTGACGAAGCAGGCCAGGGACGGGTGGTCCAGGACCTTCTCCTGCGGGCTCCACTGAACTATCTTCCCCCGGTCACCAATCTCCTCCAAATAACCCTCCGGCAGCACGTGACTCGCACGCGTCGAGTCCCACGGCGCCGGCCGCATGACCCACAGGAACGGCACCCCCGAGTCCCGGAGCCCGTACGCCAATTCATCCGCCTGCTCCTGCTCGAAATGGACCACGCTCCCGAATGAAACGTACACCACCGACGCCGGCGGGTTTGAGTCCAAAAACGCCGTACAGTCGTCGTCCGCCGGGAAGAAATCAGCCCTGATTGCATTCGAATCGCCGGCGGCAGCGCCACCTTCAATCGGCCGGAAAAGTGGCCCAACGGTTCTAATCGGCAGCCCACAAATTCCCGACATGGAATTGATTATTTCCACCTCCAAATCCTCGAAAGTGTCCATCAACACACAAAACAGTTTCTCAAGTTTCCCGAATTGCCCCAAAATCGCCCTGGCCAAGAAATCATAAGGGCTTCCGGGATAAAGGAAACTCGGGATTTCATCGTGTTTCAGCGCCGGCATAGACGGCAGCCGGACATCGATCTCCGGCGACTCCTCCATCGGAAAAGTGACAAGCTTATGGTAATAATGGTAATAAGCCGAGAAACAGGCGCAGGACTGGACCCATAAGACAGCACATGGAATCTTCATCTCGGCGGCGACGTCGGAAACCCAGGGTATGAAAGGATTATTAATTAGGCAGGAAACCGGCGGGTTCTGATTCCCAATAATCTCCAGAAGCTTCTGTTTTCCGACGAGCTCCAGCTGCGCCATGTAAGAGTCGAGGTCGTTCCGGTTGTCGTCGCTGAGGTCCCAGCCGTCGTCGAAGAACTCGAATCGAATGGTTCCACGGCCGTAGGGGGTGGGGGTGTTGCCGGCGGCGATCTTGCTGGACTTGCGGATGCTAGCGCCGGCGATCTCGGGGGCGGAGAACGTTACGGAGAGGCCGAGGGCGGCGAGGCGCTTGCCGAGACGGAGGAGGGGGTTGACGTGGCCCTGACCGGGAAAGGAGACGAGGAAGACATGAACGTCGGACAGATTTAATTTCAGATTGAGATTAAGATTGTTCTGCTCATGATTGTCGTCTGATTGCTTGCTGCTGCTGCTGCTGCTCATTTTTGCTTGCCCTGATCCTAATTTTGCTTTTCTTGCCTCAACAAGTATATATATGTTGATGTATTTTTTCAACAAAAATAAAGTAAAATTCAAAGACATAGAAAATATCCTTAAACTTGATTAATTAGTGCCTGAGATTAGGAATCTCTAAACACTGTAACGTACAGAAACTAAACTGAAAAATAAAATACTGAAATTTAAAGTGGTGATCCCCAAATCTGACTTTGCTTTGTTGAAGTTGATTGAAGATGCCTTGCCAAATGATGATCCAAATCCTTAAATATTCCCTGGGAAACCGTACTGAAAACCGTCACCCGAACGGTTACAACGTCTCCTTCTCAACCGTCTTCCAACCTTTCTTATGCTGACACGTGTCCCCAGCAGACCAAAAATCCCTATATTTCACTCCTTGAGCCAACTACAGACCTTCCGCTCTTTTGGCCCGACTTCGTCCTTCGTCCGACCTACTTCTTCGCCCGACCCCACTTGGGCCGACCTCCATATCAACCGCCCCCTATATTTGATCAAAGGCCTCCGTGTTTGTCCGACTCCTCCTTCTATCCGACCTACAGTTTACCCGACCTGCGGATATCCCATCTCAACGACTTTCTGTCTCGAGGATCTCCCGACTTGAAAACCTTCCGACTTGAGGTCTTTCCGTCTTGCGGACCTCCCGACCTGAAGACCTTCCGACTTGAGGTCTTTCCGTCTTGCGGACCTCCCGACCTGAAGACCTTCCGACTTGAGGTCTTTCATCTTGAGGGCCTCCCGACCTGAAGACCTTCCGACTTGAGGTCTTCCCGTCTGGCGGACCTCCCGACCTGAAAACCTTCCGACCTGAGGTCTTTCCGTCCTGAGGACCTACCGACCTGAGGTCCTTCCGTCCTGTATTTTCCTTAGAAATAAATAAATAAATTTATTTTCCTTGATTTCCTCACGGTGTCCTTCAGCCAGTTCAATCAACCCTATTGTCAGGCCCATTCTTCTTTTTACCTTGGGCTTTTAACCTAATTCTAAATTTCGTACGTAACAACTTGCCCGCCGCCAAGGGACTTTCAAACGCCATTTAGCAATCAATGTTTGGAAGTTCATAAATCACTACCCTCTTGAAAAACTCCCTTAGCAACTGCACCAGTTACTGCAACACTCCTGATAAACTTCCTTCTTCGCAATACAAGCCTGTGTGAATCACAATCCCAAAACATTCTAACTATGGCGAATCAATACATGCCTGCCCTTCCTTTCGACGGAACCCTTCCAGAAGGTCCATTTTCAGCTTCGAAAGTACTAACTCCGACGATCCGTCCATATTGCACTACTCCTGAAGACTCAAATCGGATGAGGGAAGTTTTGGAATCTCGCAACCCCTTGGCTATCAACAATCCCAACTACCAAGCAGTTCGCATCCGGGACAGCATCAAGACCCATCTCACAGACCCAAAAGATCTGTATCGCGCTTGGTATCGACGAGTAGCAGAACACTTCCAGACCCAATGGCGTTCCCAAAAAATCGACCAAGCAATATTGCTGTCCACCATGCCTATCAACCTGCATGAGAAGGTGTTGTTGGCCATGTCTGCCTTCTGGAATGCGGAAAATGGGACTTTCCTCTTCCCATCAGGCCCCTTTGGCCCAACTCTTATGGACGTGGCCATGATCGCACATCTCCCAATCGTGGGTGAAGACCCTGTAATGGGAGCCCTAGATGGGCAGGAGCCATCAGAAGACCATCCGGGATGGTCCTTACAAAGTGTGAAGGAATGGGGTTGGACAAAGTTCGCAACCGACCAGCAAGGGGCTCCAGGGACTCCTGTAACCGACCGGGAGCATACTGCCTTTATTCTGTTCTGGCTTTGTAGGTACATCATTGTTTCTCCTTCCAAAAGTGTTCTTCCTTCCCACCTCGACCTGGCCATTCATATTGCGTCAGGTCGGTTCTTCTCCCTTGGTACTCTATTTTTAGCCAATCTGTTCGAAGGACTCACCAGGGTTAGCCTTCGTTTAACAGATAACGATAATAGGAAATTAGACACTGCCGCGTCGGGTCCTTTTTGGTTTTTAGAACTTTGGTCCCGTCTTTACTTTCCCAACGCGTTTAACTTAGGATCTCCGCCCACTATGCCAACGTCTGAAAAACATTTAGGATTAGTCCTCAACCGACTCTGCTCAGGACGCAATAAACTCCAATCATCCGACCCAATAATAACTGCCATTTTAACAGATACCCGCAGTAACTCTCGATTTTCTATGTATAAAAAATATGCGGGTTATGCTCCCGACCATTTTTGGCCCTTTCCAGTACCAAACCCACTTCCGACTCCTGAGCCTTGTCCTCATCCCACCTATCCTTTCGCCTGGGACGTCGCCCTCAAACCCAGGTCTCTTTTTAGTAGCAAGAAACTTGATAAAAAAGGGCAGAAAACTTTTTACACTTTTAACTATGAACCTCAATTCATGGCGCGCCAGTTCGGCTGTTGCCAAGGTATCCCTGGACCCGTCGCGTGTCCCCAAATAATTTTTCAAAGCCCCGACCGACGAGTCCTTCCTAATTCAATCCCTTCTTATATCTCCCAGCTCACCACGTATATAATTTCCAATTCTTATATTCCTTTCCGCTCCAACCCTGAGATCGTAGATACTTTCAATGAATGGTGGTCGGTCGTATGGTCCCTGATATCCCCTGATGAGAGTCGGTTGCTGAACGTCCTCCTCCCTCCCCAAGGACTGGTTCTAGGGACGGCGATACATACTAGCACCCAAAAACATACAACCGCCCCGGGAATCGGATCTGGTGGTCCCACGCGCAAAAGAAAAACTTCCCAATTGCAAACACCCCCGACCTCGGAGACCGACCAACAAACACTAGCAGACCTTGGAATAAATAGGACGTCAGCAAGGACCCGACCCCGAATTGGTAATGTTTCTTAACACCGTGAACCAATTCACTAAATCGTAACTTTGATTCTACTCATTTCATTCCCCAGAACCGACCTTGGTGACACCGACCAAGCAACCGACGCCAGCACCAACCGACCATTCAATCGGGCCTTTGGTCCAGACCAATTTGCCAATGAGCAATCGGGCGGAGGACCCGACGCGGAGGCAAACTCTTCCTCCCGCACCGAGGAGTGGTCGGGCCAGGCCCCCGACCAGGAGACAATCTTTACCAGCAGTACCTACAGAAACAGTAAGTTCTCTCACCAGCACTCCTTAGTATTCTAATGATCAACCTTGATATAGTTAACAACAAACATCTTCATGATTTTTCCACAGACACCTTCACCCATCCCATCAGCAGCAGGGGTCTCTTCTGACAGCGAGGGGACTACTTCCCAGATGGGTCGGCCGCCATACATGGCATCAGACTCATCTATATCAAAGGAAGAACCAGCCGCCCTCGCCGAAACTGACCTTCAAAACGACATCCCTGATGCTGCTGATCCCGAAATCGAAGGTGCCCCAGAGATCCTGGCTGCAGTGGCTCTAGAGGTAGCCGTCCAACCTGCAGCCGCCCTACCAGCAGCGGCACTCCCTCTAGCCATCGAATGGCAGGCAGAAGAACCACCCGTGGCAGCCCAACCTCCAGAAATGGGAGAAATGTCTTCATCCGATTCGGAGACTTCTGTGAATTTGGTAAGATTAAACCAATCCAGGTCATAACTTTTCTTTCGAAAAACACTAACTGTTTCCAATACTACTTTCTATAGGGACCCAGGTCGGCACCTCAGCGACCATTCGCAGCAGCCGACGAGTCGGCTGCTATTATACCAGCTGTCTGCCCAACTCGACCGACCTCATTGCTGCCCCCCTCACTGACAGCAGTCCGCCCAGAGGTACCACATATTTTCTCCGAACAAATTTGCAACTCCCTTGGAATATGTATTGACATTGTAGGACTTGCAGGGGCCTTCGGACTTAGCTGTCCTATCGACTGTTCCGGTTCCAGCGGAGGCCCAGACTGTGTTCACTGAGGCCATTAACCGTCCCCTGTCCGAACTAAGGTCCGACTTATTGGACAAACTCATTCAGACGGTTGGTGGCCTTCTTTTTTACACTCCAACGGAATCACCAGCCGTCCCCATTCTGCATCGGCTGATGGAAAGACTTACAGAGCTCAAGACTGAAGTGGTAGTCATTGGCCTTCTGTCAGCCGAAACCCCCCAGCCCGACTTCGATCAAACAACGCTGGAGAATTCTTTGACCAAGACTCGAGAATCCCTTCAGCAAACTACTGGAAGACTGGGTGGTCTCCTTAGCACGAAAGCTCTGGTTGATGATGCCATTCAGAAAAAGGAGGCAGAATTGCGGGAGCTGAGGAAAGAACAGTCTACCCTGGATAAGCAAATTACCAATGAACAGCATCTGCTTGAGAAGTATACCAAAAATGAGGCTGAATTGGATCAAGAGCTGAAAACCCAAGCCCGATCCCAATTCATCAGAAGATATCAGACGGCTGCCAATACCAGAAGGCTATCCAGGGATGAAAACAAATGGACACAGATAAAAACTGCCCTAGGGGCACTATTGTAATATTTCCCCCTTTGTAACAACAACTGACTTAGTAATCCATTTTTTCTTTCTTCTCTCAAAACAAGGATCACCTTTCAATTCCCAGCTTTATAGGAAACGAACCAAACTCCTTCTTTAAAAGAACATTGTTTCTCACATTTCAAGAAACACATTCCCAGGCACACTGAAAGTGTTAACAAACATGGCGAATGACCGACCTCATGTTCCATCAAGCAACTGGGAGGGTGTTCTTCAACCCTTCTTTGTAGGTAATCACCCTATTGGAGGCCATGCAGAAGACTTGTTACATATACTCAAGCAACTAGACTTCAAATTCCGATTCTCCCAACGAGGTAGAAGAACTATTCATCGCGTCATCCGCCTGATGGAAAAAGTCATTGAGGGGTATGAACCTCTTCATGACATCCTCAGCCGCATCCCTGATCTCCATCATCACATGGAAATGATCGAAAATCACGCAGCAAACATACTTCCAGATCTTGGTTGGGATAACCTATT